ATGACATCCTAGAGGGTAATGATTGAAGCTGTCTATTTATTAGATATGACAGCTTCCACTGATGAGGGTGTTTGTAATTCTAAGCGAAGAGCAGATGCTAAGATGAAATGTCTTTAATTTTCTAACCACAGAGTTGTTGCTTTGGTAGACTACTGAGACAGCGGTTCTGTGATCATTTAATACCAGCTCTGTGCGGTTGTACGTCATGTAGCAGTACAAATTTGATCAAAATCAGGCAAGAGCATATGATTCCATTTTGGTTGGTTTATCCAGAGCACACAGCACAGTGTTTACATTCACTTTATAATTTTATGTTGATTTTATGCTGGCTGCAGGAAGACAGCATGAAGTTAGAGTTGCCTAGACAGAGAATACTTGTTCTACATTAAATCTGCTAGGACAAAATTATCTCTTCCATATCTTGTTAACAAATCTGAATCAGTGGAGTGTCTCTGTACCAGTATATTGCATTCTTATGATTATAGTGGCTTTGAGATCTGACACTAAGTGCCCCAAAAAAACAGATTCACTGTATTGTCAAACCACAGCTTGAGAGCCAAGCTGAACTGAGAGTTAAAATGGAGACACCGAAGAGTAATCTCATTGTGCCTGCTCTCCAACCACAAATGGTAGTACTGCCAAGCCCTGGGATACCTTTGAAATTGCCAGTGATTCCTGAAAAGAAAAAAACAAGCAAACAAAAATCTCCAGCCAAAACAGGAACACTTTCATGAAAATAGCCGGAGGTAAGGATGGTTTACTTTGAACTTCCTGTTTCAAAGTCAAGTTGCGTCTCTTTAGATGTAGACCATTATTTGGAAGAGGTTAAATTCCCTCACATTTAACCTACATTGAATTCTTGGATTTGGGAGGGTGCTGTGTGAGTTGGGCACGCCAATTAATTTTAAGGATGGTAGTAGTCATAGTAAATTAATGATCTGCAAGAATGAATAACTTCTTTGTCAGCTGGCTGAACAATTTTAGAAGCCGTAAAGGTGAGCTGGTTGGAGGTTGGGCCACAATGATTATATTATTTTTCAAAGCTGGAAGGAGGCACAGTGACAAAGATGCACTTTGAAATTAGCTTGGGAGGGAATATTCCATAAAACCCAGCAATATAGGCATTAGTATAGGAATGAATTCTGGTGGACTGATTCTAAGGATGAATGTCTTAGTCTGGAATTACAATATCAGAATTTACGATGTAGGTAGCATGAGAAACAAGGACTTCAAGACATCTGGACAGATAGTGAGCACAGCCTTTGTGGTGGAAATCTGGAATGAGACACTGATCTTCATGGCAGTAGAGGAACTTGCCCCTGTGAAAGCCAGATCAGGTTCTATCTCATTACTCTACATTTTGAACATTAACTTTAAAAACATGTTTCAGGGCATGGAACAGCCCCAGACAGGGGAGTGTCACCTTCTGATCTGCTGAATTTCACACGGCTTTTATTATGTGAATCCACAAAGGCTCAAGTCTTTATGAAGAGGCATTAACCTCCATGTAGCTAGAACAGTTGCGTGCCAAGTCCTCAAAGCACAAGATTCACAATGTTACTGGGTAGTTTCTGAGGTATCGTTTTGAAGACCCCTGAAAGCACCACTTAATAAAAATACACAATAAGTCTGATGGCCTTTTTCTTCTTTTACTAGGAGGTCCAAGGGCTCCCATTCTCATGCAGTTTCAGAATGCAGAGTCTCTCATACAGTCATACAGTACATAGGATACATCTTGCCTATTTTTTTTTTGGCTTATTTTCATCCCACATTGAGAAAATACATAGCTAAAAATACTTCAGGATGCTTTCCAGGGAATACCACCCATGTGTCCCTCAAGAGACTCTTCCATAACATTCATTAACCCACACGGTATTCAATGTTTCCAGTGACAGACTGTGCCTCCATAAATAAGCTGCATAAGTTCCTAATATGAGCTGTGCATTGCATACGGTGGAATGATTGCCTTAAAAGAATGTTGAGGCTACAAAAGGAAGCAGTCATAAAGGTAAGAAATGCCAAAATCAAGGCAGCCTCTGCAAACTCAATATGGTCCTGTTGTGCAAATGCCCAGTCTAAGCCAGTCTCTCATTACGGCCTATTTTTTCCTCCTGATTCATTCCAACTACAAGTACTTGCTATTCACCGGATGGGAATCTACTTGGTATTTCTTTATATTCTTCATCTGTAGTAACCCTTCTTAGTTGCTTGACATATTACCTTTTACTTCCCATCCATATGGACTAAAAGTAGAGAAGTCAGTCAGCGTGAACACGGCTTAGTTGATGAACAATGCTCTGATCCTCTCTGCATACCTTCCCCCTCTGGTGTGGCAAAGCTGTGTTCAGATCTTCGTGGGACACGCAAAATAACTCATCTGTATTTTAAGGAATTTCCCTGCTGTGTTTCCAAACACCTCCTTTCAAACAACAAGGCCCTGGTATCCCTAACAGTGGAAAGCATTATGCAAGCCAAGCTTAGAGATACTACCAGCTCTTTTTCCGCCTCACATAGCATCACCCTCACAACTGCCATAGGAAGGAAAACTTGATCCATACATCAGCAGTGTCTGTTCATGAGCCATACGCCTTTGAACTACTGGGTGGAGTTATGTTCTTGGGGGAAGTACAAAATCCTGCTTCCCGATGCACTGAAGCTCTTCAGTGAGTATCCCTCCTTCCACCATCCTTCTTGGTTTCAGAGAACCAAATCCTATAGCACGGGTCCCAGGGAGAAGCAGACTTTCATCCAAATGCCAGGTCTGCATTTTTTCCATGAGCAGGCACCTATCAGTATCAGGCTGCAGAAAAAAATCCCACCACCCAAACCCCTTGAACAGGGAAGAAAATAATACATTCTGACTGAGAAATCGTTGGAAAGCCAGATGTCTAAAGGGGGGCAAAGTGTTGCTGCTGCTTTTAACAATGCAATGATTAATGATTCCAAGTATTTGGGATACAGTTAACCCCTTTCATCAACTCATCTAGGTGTATAAATAGAACTTGCAGGATTTGACTCCTTCCTAAAAGCCACACAAATAGCCTATTTTGCATTGGGTTACAACAACAGATTCAGGGACAAATATGACACTGACATGCAGAACTTTGCAGAACCTCCCTTACCATTAAAACGGGCCAAAAAAACCCTGCTAGGCTAACGGGGAAAAAAAATAGCACCATAGCTCTGAACAGCCCCCAGGCACTCTCTTCCGTTGTGGAAATCTTTCTGTTTGGCCTCTGGAAGGGTGAAGGAGCCCTTACTCACATCTTCCATCTGTGTGTGTGTGTGAAGAAGACGAGCCCTACCAAGCTTCTTTAAGTCCAGTGCCTTCAAGAGAGGGGAGGCTTCTCGGAGCGGGGAAGGAGAGCTGCCAGCTTTGCCTTGAGCCGGTGTTTTCTACCTAACATTACTGAATGGGTCTTCAAACAGGGCTGTGCAGAAGCTGTAAGATGGTTTTGGGGTTTTTTTTTACTATTTTCGTAAGCTGGTTGTTTACTATGAGATCACACATGTTGCTTACTTGCATCTTACGATCTCAGATACGACTACTTTGAAGTGGACCTGTCTAAAAAGGTTATCCACATGTAGCCTCCACTTTTGTGGGGAGCCTTAGTAATCCGCAGTTACAGGGATAAGATCAGCTCTCTCTGAGATCACAGGGTAAAAGCACGCAGAGCCTGCCTAGTGCTGATATCAATTTTACACGCTGAATCGTTGAAGCTGAGGAAGCTGCAGCTGCCAAAAAAATGGGAACATTTTTAAATTAAGGCACCACACGGACCCAGGAAAATTCTTGCTTAGCAAATGAAATGAGGACAAACAGCAAAAGAGAGGTACTTCATTACTGATTTTATCAGCTAACTTTCCCTCAAGGGTGCATCAAGCTTCCTTTTTTTTTTTTTTAATCAACTCTCCTGCTAAGTGTAGAAGGGAGGAGAAGTCCAAGACCTCAGTCATCTGTTCAAAGCTGGTTCAAACCAAAGGTGTGCATGGGAAGATCAGTCCCATCACACCAACCCCTGTTTTGCCCTAAGAAGGCAGACTTCAGCACTCTTCACCTTCTGCACTTGGGCAGAGTGGCATCTCCTTTCCCGCTTCCTCCTGCTTCCACGTAGCCAGCGGTTTTGAGTTCTCCAGGGCAAAGTCTATGCCTGAGCTGGTGAGAGTTATCACAGGGGACTGGGACTACAATGTAAAAGTGGCCAAGGCACGCAGTTATTCAGCTATATTTATCCCTTATGGGAAGGGAAGTGGAAGTAATGTGGAGAGGTATGTTGGTGGAACTGAGCAGCAGGAAGGAGATGACATTTCAAAGGAGGGAAAATGCAAATGGGAATCTACTGAAGGCTAGTTATAGGGAAGGGAAGACGGGAGCTGAACAGAGGAGGAGCGTATGTATCCAACAGTCATCGTGCTGTCAATACATATGTTAGTTGGTGTCGTGCTCTATGTGCCTCCGCATAGCCTTCCCATCAGCAAAGAAGTGAAAAGAGTATATAGGTTTCTTTTTCACATACAGCTTTCTCATTCACTCAACCATACTGATTCCTTTCCACCTCAAGTAAGCAAGTGGATACAAGACAGAAATAAATGAGGATGCAAGAAAGACACACTCTTTCACACTCTTACAATCATCAGACTAAATGTATCGTTTCTGCAGCTCCGTGGAAGGCAATGAAGCTGAAATTAGTTCTTCATGCGTGGATTACGGTATTGCACAGTGATTTTTAGGCATCCATAAAATGCAGTATAAATAGTTTATGCTCAGTCCTAAGGGTGAGGTGTTTTCATTTGTTTACTTCTGTTAGATCTTTCTGCAAGCTCAAGGAAATAGCTGATTGAAAATTTTAGTACACGAGAGAATTATTTTGAAAAAAGGGTGGAAAAGAGTGATAAAATGAAAGTTAAAAAGCACCTCCATTTGAAGAAAGCTGGAAAAATAGTTTAGAAAAACACAGTAGAGGTGTGTAAGCCCAGAAACTACAGGAAAAACAAGCAAAGTTATTATACCCATTTTTATTTGTTCAAGACACAAGAAAATTAGAGAGACATGAAAGGCAGCAGAGGCATCACACCAGACAACTTTCTGATGGATAATGGTCAATCCAATCTTGTTATTTTGTGTTCTTTCTTTGCCTATGCCCAGCATCCATCTGTTAGGTTTTGCTGTACGTCACATCCACGTCTTGAACACAACCTCAGGTGGACTCAATTCTTAGATTTTCTTCCTGAAGGAATAAAAAGTTCATCGAGGTGGAGGAGAACTGGAAGTCAGTAACCTTTAATACAGAACAGACTCCAAATTCAGGTTGTTTCATAAAAAGTAATCAAAACAAAAAATTGCAAAAAATCAGATTAGCAGGATAGAAACATAAACATTGAACACAATAATAACTGATTTAAATTAAACGCAAGTACATAAGGAGGCTGAACCTTTCAGTCACAATCTGTTGCATTAGTGCACAGATACACAGACTAGTGAATTCTGTTGTTTCTGGTTCTTAAGGAATAAATGTCACTTTGTGTCCCCTGACTGCATCTGAAGTCAATAAATCCATCTGCTGCCTTTCACGCATGCAGAATGCATTTTCATCCCCTCCAAGCCATGTTCGTTGGCCAGCTTGATATAATTAAATGGCCTGCACAACACATTCAGATCCTTGAATTTAAGCCATTAATTTAAGTATGCATATTGCAGTCTCTCCCAGGTACTGGAGGAAAGGGGAGCACAAACAGCAATAGTCCTAAGGTACGTCCCTTGCCATTACAGGTTGTCAAACGTGATGTTAAGATATTTGGCAAATAATAAATAAAGATAGCAGCTAATTTCAACAAGTGCAGTCTATTTTAATTTCTTTTTGTAAAACCCTCTCTCGGTGTTCTTGGTAGTGCCTCTGCAGACTGAGGGGAGAGTAGAGAATAACGTATATCTCCTTCCATTAAATAAATATAACACCTTTATTCAATGGCAATATGTTAACTTGTCAAAACTCATCATCTTCATGCTACACAATAAAACATTCCTTAATGCAACACAGTACTATGTTGTCACCTAGCTCACCTAGAAGGAAAATTCCACATAAACTATTTTGTACCATCTGTTGCTTTGCCTAAGCAAGTTTTCCCGTTAGAAGATAACCCCTGTGAGATGTTAATTAACATTGTGTTTGGAAAAAGTCTGAATAAACCTCTTGCATTGAACCAGTCTTAACATACTAAATTATTTTTTATTCTTCCTCATCTACATATTTCAAATCATATTTTTTCCTTTTTTCAGAGAAGCTTGAATTTCATTCCAATTTTGGGAGAAATGCAAGCCAACCAGCTGTCAATAAAGATTGTCCCATCTTATTGAAGACTAAAACTAAACAGAATTAGTGGTCTTTGATATTGCTCCCACAAATACCATCATTGCTTTTCATCAGTTCATGTGGACACGATTTCTTTTTTAGAGTAACGCCATTGCTAAGGTACCCACACAACTCCACACCTGACTTGCTGAATCCATAACTTATGTTTTATATCAGGTTGTTTGGCATAGAAGTAGAATGAAAACCCTTTGGAAGAGAGAATGTTTTTAAGAGAAGAAGTGCTTTTCTCAATCAGAAGAATAAAAGCAATCTAGATACATTTGTGCTGCATGACTGAAGTTTTGTCTCTTTATTCACATTTTTGGCTAGGTCTGACATATCTCCCACAAGAAACTGTGGATCTCGAGGGAGAGAAGAAGGGAAGAGACTGCAACCTATTATTCACCTGGATGTTACAAAAATATCTTTCATGTGTCAAGTGGTACAATGTAGGTGGTATAATTTGACATTATCGTGCATTGCTACTCGTCTACCACCACACTTTTTAAAACTATCCCTGTCATTGGTATGGTGTCTACACACAAAGTGATCGCACTTTTTCCTTTGCTGCAAAAAAACCCCAGATTTCAAAATACTAGAAGCAGCTCAGAATAGGACTGACTAATCTTCACTAAAATTTATATACCTATATACAAATATACATTAAAAATGTGATTTCCAAGTTTTTATTTTATAGGCATTTATAGAAAGAGAGGTTTCTATTTTATGGTTTATTTTATTAACCAAAAGAATGAGTTTGCAAATCTTTGCAACAAGGATTTACAGCAAACCCATGCAGTAATATGGAACTAAATTCTGAGGTTTAAATTAGATTATTAGCAGAACTGACTATTTTACAATCTACTCGGGAAAGTACTAGGCAAAAAGCTTTCATGGCACTTCGCCTTTCCATGAGCGATGTAGCAATATGGGCTCTGGTTACTTGGGCAACTGATCAACAACTTCACCTTGGCTGTAAATGCAATGCTGGGAAGAGATTAAGAAAAGGAAACATGAAGGAGGGAGCTAATTTGAATAGAAAAAGAATAATGCCTAGGATCATGAGCAGGCAAGTAGTTTTAGTTGGTCCTAAGTACAAGGAAAAAGACCTGATTCTTACAACATGACAGTATAAAGTTAGGTGGCATTTAAAGAAGAGGTGCCGAGAGAATTTCAGAGCCCTTACCCATCGAGTCTTACTGAAAATGCCAGGTTCTAATTATACACAGGATGAAGAATGAAGGGAATATTTTGTACAAGTACAAAATAAAACATGCAGATATTATCCTCTTCTGGCAGTAGGGAAACTTTGAACTTTAGAAGGTCTAGGTTGCTTATCTGGGGCACACCTTACTATTGTGAAAATACATAGTATTTATTCTAAAATTACTTGGTAGCACTGCACTAAAACCTGTTTTTTTCCACCTTCTAATAGTGACTGTATGAGTCAAAGAGACTGGATACACATACATTATATATCTAACTTGAATATTATAAAAATTACATAGATCAGGGATACAGTTCTATTTCCATTTCTCATTCTATTTGTCTCCAGTCCACAGTGTGGATTTTTTTTTTTTTTTTAACTGTTTTTCAGCAGCAAAGTCCATGGGAAACTGCTTTTTACCTTGCACTGTAGAGAACCTTTCAGCAGGAGGACACAGAGGTGTGACCGTAGGAAGAACCAGGTCAGTATCAATCCAAGTCTCCAACACTCTCACACACTGCTGGGGAGACTACGATAGGAAACAAGACAATGGCTAGAAGTAGTGTGGGATGCAGTCTTTAAACCAAAAGCTCATAGAGTAAGTGTGGATACATGTGCATATTCTGTAAGGTGTCTGATCTGGTACCTCTTGGCAAGTTAACTGAGGATTTAGAACAATCAAAAATTATGATAATAAACAGTGGTTTAAAAATCCACTAATTGAAAGGTGCCTTATTATCATTAAAGGGTTGCTTTATTAGGTCCTAAAGAGATTTGCTCTTATTCTGCTGTATAATATTATCATCAGTAATTCCAAAGCAAACAAGCATACTATATTATAACTGTTTCCCGATGATACAAGGTTTGCAAGAATGGCAAATAATGCAGAATACAGGTGACCGAGCCCTCTCAATCATTTGATAAGCTAACTATGAAAGTTTTAGGGCAGCCATGTACAAAATACTTTGGAGAGCGAAGCAAAGTGTCTGAGGTCATGGAAGCTAGAAACCAAACATATGCTCTCAGCCTCATCCTCTTAGTAAGGGTGGACACAATCTTTACGGTATAATAGGAAACTGTATTATCTCTGACATTGGTGCAACTGTCACTATAATATAGTGGCCAGCCTTGACACTGGCCTGGACACTGTAAGTGTCCAGTGAAGAGTCACACAAAAGGATCAAAAGGTTACAAAGCTTACAAAACAATCTGAAACACTGTGAAAGTGAATGTGAAACACTGGCACAGGTTGCCCAGAGAGGTGGTGGATGCCCCATCCCTGGAAACCTTCAAGGTCAGGTTGGACGGGGCTCTGAGCAACCTGCTCTAGTTGAAGATGTCCCTGCCCACGGCAGGGGGGTTGGACTAGGTGACCTTTAGAGGTCCCTTCCAGCCCAAACTATTCTATGATTCTATGAATAAATTGTTCCACCATCTAACTAAGTTAGCCTTAATTTCTGATCACTGGAATTTCTTGCACCTTTCTCTGTTGGAAGAAAGACTCCTTAACTAAATCGCTGTTCCCTGTAACGGGGAATTAGAAATTGTGATCAAACTAAATCAGACTTTTGCTTAGGCAAGCTAAGAAGATTGAGCCCACTGTTTTATTTTACTGCAATGCCTATTTTTTAATCTCTTGATCAGTCTAGGCTCCTGCTATATGCTCTTAGTTTTTGTGGGAGGCAGAAGGGTTGAGGGGCTCTTTTCTGATATTTGTGTTTTGGCTACAGTTAATGCAAAAGGATCTCCTTGTGTCCTGAGCAAGGAGGAAAATTGTGACAAAAAGGCTGGGCCTGTTGCTGAAAATACTGCTTATGTGTTTCTTTCCACTCTTATTAATCCAATTATTTTAGTGGGTGTGCTCTCAGACACAGTCAGACATCTGACCTCAGACTAAGGATTATTCTGTGAAGGTTTATGCACAAATTTGACTTCATGCACTGCAAATTCAGAGATGAGATGTTCCTGCTGAGTAACACCAAGTAAATGTCGGAGTTCTTTGAGCCCAAACTTCCCATTGTCTCTCTGCTGAAACTAGAATGCAATTGCAAATACTGGTATTAACTTTAAAACGCTTGCAATATCTCAAAGTGAGCTTTGTCCCTTCTGTGAAGATTAGTTAGGAAGTTTTTCTTGGGTGGGTTTTTTTTTTTTTTTTTGCAAACTAAGCCCTGAGGGCAAAACTCACTCCTTTGAGGAACGCAAAGCATGGAGTTGACTTCTGCCGGTTGCCTGCTCTGAAGCTGGGGAAACTTCAGTGCATGGACACAAAGCACTGTCAGTTGAGAGCTCATCTGCAGGATCCTCTCTCCTTTTTAACTCTGCTTAATTCTATGACTGAAATAAGGACAACAGGGTCTATTTTTGGTTTTAAATGTAATTTATTATGTAATTGTTGCTCGGTAAACGAGTTTACGTGGGATACAATAATACAGAATTTCAACCTTACTTTAAAATCTGTCTTACAAATCAGTGTCATGTTGCTACTGGTTTAAGATCAGTGCCGTCAAATATTAACAAAATACAGGAAATATGTCCTTCTTTTTCAGGAAATGCTTGTATCATTGAGTCAGTAAACTGTTTCAGCTTAAGAGAATCAGATTTAAATACTACTTACAGACATGCCTAACATCTTATAACAGCAATAAATATTACTGGTATATTAAGTGTT